GATCACAGTCACGGTTTTGTTTCTAAGTAAGTGTTAATACCTTTGTGGTACATATCCATTTCCCTGTCACATATAACTACAATGGAGGCAACAAAGTCCTGATTTATTGTATCAGTTTAGAAAAGAGAGTTACATGTTCATTGACATCGTTCATTGAATTTGCAGTCCTCGGTTGGTCAATCGGGACGTCATTAAATGGACATATGTTCAACATGAAGGCAACTTCTATTTCAAAGGCAAAGATTTCATTTATCAGTTTAGAAAAGAGAGTTACATGTTCAGTGACATCGTTCACAGCTGAGTCAAAAGGCATTTTAACTGCTCTAGAATATAATAGTTTGTTTATGAACAACGTCCAATACATCTGTATACATTCACCCAAGTCAAACAGACCACTCGATCCAGTTAGTAGTTAACGTTACTTCTTATAGTCTTCATACGTAACACTTATTCATGGAATATTGGTGAGCAAAGTCACGGTTTTGTTTCTAAGCAGGCGTTAATACCTTAGCGGTACATATTCATTCCCGTGTCACACACAAATACAATGGAGGAAACAAAATCCTGATTTATCGTATCAGTTTAGAAAAGAGATTTGCATGTTCAGTGACATCGTTCATTGAATTTTTCGCACTACAAAGTTTCAACTTTCTTTGGAAATTTTCTTTGGGCTTGGAGTAAGAAAAAGATTCATACTTGTGTTCTCAATTTGTTATATCTTCTGACAGCTGTAGGCTAGTTGGCAAAGATGTAGATCGCTATCATCACATGTCTTTTGTTTCAACATGACTGTATTTCATTTTCTTTAGATTTAAGATATTCCTTGCTGACATCGCATATTTGAATATTTAGACAGGAAATACCGAAAGAGTTTCTAATTTCATCCTTAGTTTCAAAGGAAGAAATTTGCCCTATCTTATCAAAGAGGCAGATTTATTGTCCTGAATCACTGCCTTGGAGATGTGTGTGATGAATGATGAATGGGGTACAAATGATTGTGAGACTAAGAAAACCCCGAAACTTTGCTCAAAGTCATCTTGATTTTGTCTCTTAACAGGTAACAATGGGATACAGGTAAAAATGGGGTACATGTAACATTGGGCTACAGGTAACAATGGGGTACATGTAACAGTGTGATATAGGTAAAAGTGGGGTACAGGTAACAGTGGGGTACAGGTAAGAGTCGGGTACAGGCACCAATATGGTACAGGTTACACTGGGGCACAGGTAACAGTAGCGTACAGGTTAAAGTGGGGTACAGGTAGCATGTACCACTTGGGTACGAGTAAATATGAGGTACAGCTAGCAATTGAAGTCAGGTAACAGTGGGGTACAGGTAACAGGGGGGTACAGGTAACTGTGGGGTACAGCTAACATTGGGGTACAGGTAACAATGGGATGTAGGTAACAGGTATCAGTGACGTGCTATATCTCATGTTCGAGCTCAACGGTCCTAGCCAGCCGCAACATTCAAAAGTCGCCATCAGCCACGTTCTGTTCACACAAGCAGTGCACGACTTATAGAAAACACCATATGAAGTTTTTTTCGAAAATGAAATTAAAAGGCATTGGACTGCTTTGGCATATATTTGTGATGTGGTCAATTTAAAGGACTTTATTATTTAAGATGTTTCCACCTATCTGAAAAAGGGGCTCACTTGATTCCATTGCGAAAAATATCTGTACAAAAATAAAAAGGACATTAAGGAAACACGAAATAATTTCCTTTCAAGGTATCATGTAGCATTTACACATTCCAAAGAAATATGTTCATCGCTTGGTGCCATTCCAGTATATCTACGTTACATACATGTATAAGTTACGGAAAAGTAACTGAACATTCGTTACAAATATTGTACGCGTTAGCTAAGTTCGCATAACAAAGGTCCAGTTTCGCATGTGTTATCGAACTTAAGATACACCATCAAGTAACAAAATACTGCATTATCAAATTCAAAATTTAAAATTTACAGCCTGTAAGTTATAATAAATCAACAAATAAATGAAAATGAATACAACACAAATGGTCTGCATGGAAATGCAATGCAGAAGAATCGTAATACATGTATATGTGAATGTTTAACTTGATAGAATGTGTGCTGACTCTGAACTGGCGACATGCTCATGATGTCGACCACCGGTTTGTCTGGCCAAACTCGATTATTAAAAGACCGCTGTGATATGGCTGGAATAGTGTTAGTTGAGGTGAAAAACAGGCAACAACACTCACTCACTTAATCCGTCATTAAACATGTCAGCTAAAGCCTTTCTTCACAATTGGTAGTTATACTTGCTTTCATGGTCGGTATCGTGAAGGTACGGCTCATGGCCAAGAGGGCGTTTCCAGAGCGCCGAGCTGCTGTTACAACGTCGTTGATTGGAGGAGATGAGGGCGTTGATGGGCAGGAGAGTGGGATGTCGGCGATGGCTTGTGTTGTTTCTTTCTTATTTTTCATTGAACCTTATATTTATTATCTAGTTTTCATTTCTTTTTGTTCTTTCTTCTTGGGAATCTTCCCCAAGCTCCTCACAGCGATAGCCCGTTCGCTGAGCTCTCTGCACTATCGCTGCCACGAGTCAAAACTCCCAACTGTGATATGTGGTCACAACCATGCTTGGAGTTGAACTCGCAACCTACGGACTGTTATGCTTACAAACAAGCGATGACGCCAAATACTCTTATCCTAACTAAAAAATGTTCAATTTGAATTTCTATTTCATTTTAACTATCGTGTAATTGGTATGCTAGTATGTAAGGGGGGATTTGAGTGATTTTCTGTTTGTCTGCAATTTCGAACCAATCAGATCAAACAAAAAGTTAAATTCATCTGGGAAATATGGTCAGTGGTAAACCTTTTAAAAAATAACTGCATTGGCATTTCCAAAGACATAAACAAAAGTATGAACGTTACTACACTTTGGGTTAGAGTGCACGTTTCAAGATTCTTTTAATGGCCGCGCCCACAGTGGTAGCAGCGATGTTACCGAGAGTGAAACGAAGATGTCACGCGCTGGGAACGAGCTAGGCATCTGGCCTCAGACCACAGTTATCCCCCCTAAGTTTTACCATGAACCGGAAGGAAAATAGGAGAATATAGTACCCTGTTGAAATGGGCTGTTCAGCCTGTGGCAATTTTTTTGGAGTGACTTGTGATAGCTTAAATGAAAGATAAGACATTGTAGTTTGATGTCAATTTTTTGTTAGCCCCAATCTGTGAAGGTATTGATTCCAGCTTCCCATGATTTGACCCCAAGTTGAAGGCCGCTGTGTGTGTTTCGGCTCGAAACTTCTGGTGAGCATTGTTGACAGTGGTTACTGCGAAAGCAAGGTGGTGGATGCTGGACGTAACTTTGCGTTTTAAGTGACAAGTGGCAGGTTGGTCAGCATGCAACAGGAGAACAGCCTACGACTGATAATAATTATGGTGGGCTGTCATGTCACTGTAGATAGCAAAGACGGAAATTAATTGTGGTCTGAGGCCATCTTCCCGAGGCAAGGGAGTTAACTGACTATGTCTCCACTTCTAAAGTCAGTTAACTCCCTTGCCTCGGGAAGATGGGCTTAGGGGTGGGGTGTCCCCAACCGAGCTTCTGATGGCTATTTCGATCACCCACATTGAATAAGGTTGAATATAGTTGTTTTATGCAGCAGTCAGCAATAATGTAGACACTTATCATGACAGCATGTTTATATTATCGAATCTTAGCCAGACAAACCAGTGGAAATGACCTCGTCATTAAAATACAACGACACACATATTATTCTGAGTGTGTGTGAGTATGGTTTTACGCCGCTTTTAGCTTTCAGCAATATCACGGCGGGGGACACCAGAAATGGGCTTCACACATTGTACCCATGTCGGGAATTGAACCCGGGTCTTCGGCGTGACGAGCAAACGCTTTAGCCACTAGGCTACCCGACTGCCCCTATTATTCTGAGTGAGTGAGTGAGTTAATATTTAAAGTCACATCGGCAGTATTTCAGCCATATCGTGACTTTATTATTCTGAAGGCATCACTATGAAGCCAACCAACTAGTTCAGTCGGCTCCTGTGATCTTGAAAACAGTTTAGCCCATGAATAAGAATGAGTGAGTGAGTTGAGTGATTTATCATGAGTGAGCAATATGGCGGCGAGTGAGTGAGTGAGTGAGAGTGAGTGAGTGAGTGAGTGAGTGAGTGAGTGAGTGAGTGAGTGAGTGACAGGCATCACAAAGAAGCCAACCAACTAATTCAGTCGGCTCTTGTGATCTGGGAAACAGTTTAGCCCATGAATAAGATTGAGTGAGTGAGTTGAGTGATTTATCATGAGTGAGCAATATGGCGGCGTAGAGACACCAGAACTAAGGCTGCAAACATTGTACCCATAAGGGGCATCGAACCAGGGCCAGCGTGACCAGCGAACACTTTAACCACTAGGTAGGCTTTCCCCACATACACACATGATTGAGTGAGTGAGTGGGTGGGTGGATGGTTATCATGAGTTAGTGAGGTGTTTACGCCGCTTTTTCCAGCAATATCGCGGCGAAGAGACACCAGAAATGGGCATCAAACATTGTACCCATGTGAGGAATCGAACCCGGGTCTCCAGCGAGACGAATGAAGGCTCTTACCACAAGCAAAGCTTTTTTTCCACACACACACACACAAACACACACACACACACACACACACACACACACACACACACACACTGACGGCGCAGGTCATTTCTTATCAAGATGATAATTAAGTTCCATTGTTAATAAACATAATCCACCCGAAAGAAATCTTTGAATCCATTTTAGCAGCAGGAAGAGAATCAGTTAGCTGTTGACAGGAAGGATCATAACCGGGGCGAAACTGGGATTTGTAACAACGATCAGTGGATCGAGGCAATGTCAAGTGAAACACCTCTTGGAAAATGTCAGTCCACTTGGCCTGTAATGCCACCCCAATGCCTCAATCATTGTGCGGCATTCGAAAATAAATGATAAGAACATTCTAAATGCTGTTCTGTGTTTAACTTTTATTATTCTTGACTTTTTCTGGCGTTATGTACATTTTCCAATTTTCCATAGGTGATGTCATATTTACAAATCTTTTCGAAAACATACCCTCAATTTGGGATATGAGGCCATTTATTGTCTTTCTCTGATCGTTATTGTAGAAGAAGGTGAGTGACACGCTTGTTGAATTTCTATGAAAGTTCCCCTCCGAGTTCCGTAAAGCACACTGTGGCTTTCCTTCAACGCCTGCCTTCTTCAAGAATGAGGACAGCCTGTTGAGCTCGCGTGTTAAGTTGGATTTCAGTGCGTCAAAGAAAACTGGAAGGACATCCCTATGATGCAACCATGAAGTGAAGAAGGACCGGTAATCACCTATTGACATTTCTATATAGGTTTTCCAGTCTGAAACCAGAAGACATAATCATAGATGGAATACAGTGTTTATGTATGACAGATTTGATAACACTAGCTATTGGAGTTGCTATAAAGCTTTTCAAATATATAAAATTCACCCGCCCGAAGCATCAGTTTGTAAGCATATTATCAAAATAATTGTGCCTATCGGTTGATTATTCTTTTTTTGCAATATGATTTTCACAAGACAAAACAGCAACAATAGCTAGTTGATGGATTATAGAGATTATTAGCTGATTGGGGTTAAAGTAGTTCCTGTTAGGTGACTTCAGTTCAGTAGTTTATTGGATCAGTTTATAGGTGAGATACAACTATCCAGTATGTGATAAACTTGCTTTTCAACGCAAGTTGCAACTCTCAAATAATGCGACAAACTATGTATTTATATATATGTATATAGCATGAGATATACACTCCCCACCTTCTGTTGTAACAGATGTATATAGCATGAGATATACACTCCCCACGTACTGTTATAACATATGTATATGACATGAGATATACACTCCCCACCTACTGTTGTAACAGATGTATATAACATGAGATACACACTCCCTATGTACTTTTGTAACAGAAGTATGTGACATGAGATATACCCTCCCCACCTACTGTTGTAACCGATGTATATAACATGAGATATACACTTCCCTTGTACTATGGCAACAGAAGGATGTGACATGAGATATACACTCCCCATCTACTGTTGTAACAGATGTATATAGCATGAGATATACACTCCCCTTGTTCTATGGTAACAGATGTATATAGCATGAGATATACACTCCCCTTGTTCTATGGTAACAGCTGTATATAGCATGAGATATACACTCCCCATCTACTGTTGTAACATATGTAAATAACATGAGATATACACTCCCCTTGTACTATGGTAACAGCTGTATATAGCATGAGATATACACTCCCCTTGTTCTATGGTAACAGCTGTATATAGCATGAGATATGCACTCCCCACCTACTGTTATAACATATGTATATAACATGAGATATACACTCCCCTTGTACGATGGTAACAGCTGTATATAGCATGAGATATGCACTCCCCACCTACTGTTATAACAGATGTATATAGCATGAGATATGCACTCCCCACCTACTGTTGTAACAGATGTATATAACATGAGATATACACTCCCCTTGTACTATGGTGACAGAAGGATGTGACATAAGATATACACTCCCCATCTACTGTTGTAACAGATGTATATAACATGAGATATGCACTCCCCACCTACTGTTGTAACAGATGTAAATAACAGGATATTTAAACACCCCATTTAATGTTGTAACAGATGTAATTAACATGAGTTATTCCCTCCCCATCTTCCGTTGTAACAAATGTATGAGATATACACTCCCAACCCATCGTTGTGACAGATAAGACGAGATATACAATCCTCACCTACTGTTGTGACTGATGTATGTAACATGACATATATACTCCAGACCTACTCTTTTAACTGTTGCATATAACATGATATATGCACTCCCACCGACAGTTGTAACAGATGTAGATAATATGAGATATACACTCCCCATCTACAGTTGTAACTGATGTATATAACATGAGATATACCCTCTGGACCTACTCTTTTAACTGATGTATATGAGATATACACTACCCACCAACTGTTATAACAGATGTATGTAACATGGGATATACAATCCAAACCTATCTTTGTTACAGATGTACATACCACGAGATATACACAACCAACTTCTGTTGTGACAGATGTATATAACATGAGATATACCCTCTGGACCTACTCTTTTAACTGATGTATATAACATGAGATATAAACACTCACCTACTGTTGTAACTGATGTATATAACATGATATTTATTAAACATGAGATATACACTCACACCAAAGGTTGTAACCGATGTATGTGACATGAAATATACCCTCTAGACCTACTCTTTTAACAGATGTTAATAACATCAGATATACACTACCCGACTACTGTTGTGACAGATGTATGTAACATGAGATATACCCTCTGGACCTACTCTTTTAACTGATGTATATAACATCAGATACACACTACCCATCTACTGTTGTGACAGATGTATATAACATTAGATATACACTACCCATCTACTGTTGTGACAGATGTATGTAACATGAGATATACCCCCTGGACCTATTCTTTTTACTGATGTGTATAACATGAGATATACACACTCACTTACTGTTGTAACTGATGTATATAAAGTGAGATATACACTAACACCAACGGTTGTAACCGATGTATGTAACATGAAACATGGCCTCTAGACCTACTCTTTTAACGAATGTAAACATCATGAGATATACACACACACCAACTGTTGTAACATATGTATATAACATGAGAAATACTCACCCAACCTACCCTTGTAACTGATCTATATAACATAAGATATACACTCCCCACCTAATGTTGTAAAAGATGTATATAACATGTGATATACACTCACAATCTACCTTCGTTACTGATGTATATAACATGAGAAATACTCACCCAACCTACCCTTGTAACTGATCTATATAACATAAGATATACACTCCCCACCTAATGTTGTAAAAGATGTATATAACATGTGATATACAATCACAATCTACCTTCGTTACTGATGTATATAACATGATATATACCCTCCCCATTCTACCCTTGTTACTGATGTATATAACATGATATATACCCTCCCCATTCTACCCTTGTTACTGATGTATATAACATGATATATACCCTCCCTATTCTACCCTTGTTACTGATGTATATAACATGTATATATCCCCCATTTGTCGTTGCAAATGGAAGCAGCTTCGATGCAGGAGGACAATGACAGAGAGACGCATACCGCCTTCATGGCAACTGCTAACGGGAGACACATCACTTATATCTGATGCATGCAGTACAAAGTCACGGCAGATGTATAGTGTGTCTGAAGCATACAGCTTAATGTCACGGGAGATGTATAATGTGTCTCAAGCATTCCAAACAAAGTCACGGGAAATGTATAATGTGTGTAAAGCATACAGCATAAAGTCACGGTAGATGTATAATGTGTGTAAAGCATACAGCATAAAGTCACGGGAGATGTATAGTGTGTCTCAAGCATACAGCATAAAGTCACGGGAGATGTATAATGTGTCTCAAGCATACAGCATAAAGTCACGGGAGATGTATAGTGTGTCTCAAGCATACAGCATAAAGTCACGGGAGATCTATAATATGTGTCTGAAGCATACAGCATAAAGTCACGGGAGATGTATAATGTGTCTCAAGCATACAGCATAAAGTCACGGGAGATGTATAATGTGTCTCAAGCATACAGCATAAAGTCACGGGAGATGTATAATGTGTCTCAAGCATACAGCATAAAGTCACGGGAGATGTATAGTGTGTCTCAAGCATACAGCATAAAGTCACGGGAGATGTATAGTGTGTCTGAAGCATACAGCATAAAGTCACGGGAGATGTATAGTGTGTCTCAAGCATACAGCATAAAGTCACGGGAGATGTATAATGTGTCTCAAGCATACAGCATAAAGTCACGGGAGATGTATAATGTGTCTCAAGCATACAGCATAAAGTCACGGGAGATGTATAGTGTGTCTGAAGCATACAGCATAAAGTCACGGTAGATGTATAATGTGTCTCAAACATACAGCATAAAGTCACGGGAGATGTATAATGTGTCTCAAGCATACAGCATAAAGTCACGGGAGATGTATAGTGTGTCTGAAGCATACAGCATAAAGTCACGGGAGATGTATAATGTGTGTAAAGCATACAGCATAAAGTCACGGGAGATGTATAATGTGTGTAAAGCATACAGCATAAAGACACGGGAGATGTATAATGTGTGTAAAGCATACAGCATAAAGTCACGGGAGATGTATAATGTGTGTAAAGCATACAGTATAAAGTCACGGGAGATGTATAATGTGTGTAAAGCATACAGCATAAAGACACGGTAGATGTATAATGTGTGTAAAGCATACAGCATAAAGTCACGGGAGATGTAGAATGTGTGTCTGAAGGATACAGTACAAAGTCACGGGAGATCTATAATATGTGTCTGAAGCATACCGTACAAAGTCACGGGAGATGTATAATGTGTGTAAAGCATACAGCATAAAGACACGGTAGATGTATAATGTGTGTAAAGCATACAGCATAAAGTCACGGGAGATGTATAATGTGTGTAAAGCATACAGCATAAAGTCACGGGAGATGTATAATGTGTGTAAAGCATACAGTATAAAGTCACGGGAGATGTATAATGTGTGTAAAGCATACAGCATAAAGACACGGTAGATGTATAATGTGTGTAAAGCATACAGCATAAAGTCACGGGAGATGTATAATGTGTGTAAAGCATACAGCATAAAGACACGGGAGATGTATAATGTGTGTAAAGCATACAGCTTAATGTCACGGGAGATGTATAATGTGTCTCAAGCATACAGCATAAAGTCACGGGAGATGTATAATGTGTGTAAAGCATACAGCATAAAGTCACGGGAGATGTATAATGTGTGTAAAGCATACAGCATAAAGTCACGGGAGATGTAGAATGTGTGTCTGAAGGATACAGTACAAAGTCACGGGAGATCTATAATATGTGTCTGAAGCATACCGTACAAAGTCACGGGAGATCTATAATATGTGTCTGAAGCATACCGTACAAAGTCACGGGAGATCTATCATATGTGTCTGAAGCATACCGTACAAAGTCACGGGAGATCTATAATATGTGTCTGAAGCATACAGTACAAAGTCACGGGAGATCTATAATATGTGTCTGAAGCATACCGTACAAAGTCACGGGAGATCTATAATATGTGTCTGAAGCATACCGTACAAAGTCACGGGAGATCTATAATATGTGTCTGAAGCATACAGTACAAAGTCACGGGAGATCTATAATATGTGTCTGAAGCATACAGTACAAAGTCACGGGAGATCTATAATATGTGTCTGAAGCATACCGTACAAAGTCACGGGAGATGTATAATGTGTGTAAAGCATACAGCATAAAGTCACGGTAGATGTATAATGTGTGTAAAGCATACAGTATAAAGTCACGGGAGATGTATAATGTGTGTAAAGCATACCGTACAAAGTCACGGGAGATGTATAATGTGTGTAAAGCATACAGCATAAAGTCACGGCAGATGTATAATGTGTGTAAAGCATACAGCATAAAGTCACGGTAGATGTATAATGTGTGTAAAGCATACAGTATAAAGTCACGGTAGATGTATAATGTGTGTAAAGCATACAGCATAAAGTCACGGGAGATGTATAATGTGTGTAAAGCATACAGCATAAAGTCACGGCAGATGTATAGTGTGTCTGAAGCATACAGTACAAAGTCACGGGAGATGTATAATGTGTGTAAAGCATACAGCATAAAGTCACGGGAGATGTATAATGTGTGTAAAGCATACAGTACAAAGTCACGGGAGATCTATAATATGTGTCTAAAGCATACCGTACAAAGTCACGGGAGATCTATAATATGTGTCTGAAGCATACAGTACAAAGTCACGGGAGATCTATAATATGTGTCTGAAGCATACAGTACAAAGTCACGGGAGATCTATAATATGTGTCTGAAGGATACAGCATAAAGTCACGGGAGATGTAGAATGTGTGTCTGAAGGATACAGTACAAAGTCACGGGAGATCTATAATATGTGTCTGAAGCATACAGCATAAAGTCACGGGAGATCTATAATATGTGTCTGAAGCATACAGCATAAAGTCACGGGAGATCTATAATATGTGTCTGAAGCATACAGTACAAAGTCACGGTAGATGTATAATGTGTGTAAAGCATACAGCATAAAGTCACGGGAGATGTAGAATGTGTGTCTGAAGCATACAGTACAAAGTCACGTGAGATCTATAATATGTGTCTGAAGCATACAGTACAAAGTCACGGGAGATGTAGAATGTGTGTCTGAAGCATACAGTACAAAGTCACGGGAGATCTATAATCTGCGTCTGAAGCATACAGTACAAAGTCACGGGAGATGTAGAATGTGTGTCTGAAGCATACAGTACAAAGTCACGGGAGATCTATAATCTGCGTCTGAAGCATACAGTACAAAGTCACGGGAGATGTATACAGGCAGAAGTTTATTTGATATTTTAGGCCATATGACCTATAGTACAGAAGTGGTTTGTTTGTATCAACATTGTACAGTCACGTGTAGGTAATAAGAAGTTTACATATAATATTAACGTCTAATTTCAAAATTCTTCTCCAGGAATATTGACAGATATGATATTGTATTAGCATTGCGGGAGTTCAACAAATTTTTCATCAGTTATTCACCTTTGTACATAGTTTAAATCATAGGGAGGTATCTACTTCTAAGAAACTGACAATATTTACAAGTGAGAAGTACATGAAACTCATCCTCAAATTAGCCCTTCACAATAACGGCATGAACTACTTTCTTTATCTTGTACATTTTTCTTTCTGAGATTATTAACATAAAAATTATGGTGGTTGGTTGGTTGGTTAGTTGGTTGGTTGGTTTGTTGTTTAACGCCGCACTCTGCAATATTCCGGCTATATGACGGCGGTCTGTAAATAATCGAGTCTGGACCAGAAAATCCAGTGATTGTCATCATGGACATCGATCCACGCAAATGGAATTGATGACATGCATCAACCAAGTCAGCGAGCCTGACCACCCGATCCCGTTAGTCGCCTTTGACGACAAGCATAGTCGCCTTTGACGGCAAGCATGGGTTGCTGAAGACCTATTCTACCCCGGATCTCCACGGGTCGAAGCGTAACCTGGGTACGGCACCTACAGAACAATGGAAACCCCATGTAATCTGTGTGAGTGTAATTTAAGTCACTTAAAGCAGGCATTCATATTTGTACTTACCTTTGAAGTGATCGAGGTTTCCTTGCCCAGTGTGCCCAGAATGTTGACGGGCGAACTCAGCAAGAAACGCCCCATACGGGTTCCGGATGATTAAAATAGCTCGCTTGTAGATGGTAGAGACTGACGCATGTGTCTTTATCGCAACCACTGTGCCGTCTTTTCGACCTTCGCCAGGGAAGCCATTCTCCATCAACTTTTTATCCTTGTAGATTGATCCGGTTAAGATTCCTGAAACGAGTTTTTTTTTAGACAATGATACTTGCTGAAGTTTAAATGATCCAATACTAAGGATGTGCGATCCCACCACATATTGCAGTCATTATGAAGAAGGGAGTGCATCAACTGTTCCATGACATTGTATTAGTAGTAGTTGTTATTGGTAGCAGGAGCATGGATTGAGGTCGGACTGTGGTCATAGGTGTTTGTGCCCACCTTAACGACAGGATTTTATTGTTAACCTACAAATCGCTCACGTAATTTATTCAGAAACAAAATAAAAAGTATTACATTTTTATCAGTGATATAACATCCAATCACAGAGTTGATATAAACTGCCGTTAGAGAGAGTTCACTGTCATAACAAAATCAGATAATCATAAAGTGTAGTAAAAAACAATAGTGTGCTTATAAAACATGAAAATCCAATGCTGCCCTTTCCATGTAACCTTACATTAGATTTTGGCCTGGCATTCTAGAAAGACAAAATGTATCTTCTTGGTTCAACTCTGTACTTCTCAGATCTTGGCTGCTATCATCATGTGTGGGATATTCAATTAAAAATTCTTCAGTAAATCAACAATGACCAAGAAGAAAAATATGATGAGAAGACTTATGGAATGTACATGTCACTACATGTACATGTTCTGCCACTATTCTAAACTTGATTCAAACATCACATTATGGTAATATTTTGGACAGGTTCTAAATTTTGTTGGAGACAATCCTTGTATTTCTAAACCAGAGTATGCTTTAAAGACAAGATAGTTTATTGATGACATTTCCTTTTTTTCTTTATCCTGTTGTCAAGCAAGGATGAAGTAAGACGGTAACATGCAGGCTTATTTACATGTACATTTAATAACGATTTAAACAAAAAACAGCATGAGGCTATATACCATAGGGATTAACAAAAACAACAAAAGATATTGATACAGTTACACCCAAGAGAAGACATCAGTAAACGGCTAAGGATAACGACCGCCTCCGTGGTCTAGTGGTAGAGCGTCCGCCCGGAGAGCGGAAGGTCCAGGGTTCGATCCCCGGCCGCGTCATACCAAAAGACGTTAAAAGATGGTACTTGTTGTTACCCTGTCTGGCGCTCGGCATTAAGGGGCTAAAACAAGGACCGGTCGGCTCGGAGTCAGTATACTGTGTCTGAGTGGGGTATTCGTGTTAAACTGCGGCATGGTATCTCAGTGAGCTAGCACTATAAATCGGCATCAGTCCGGACTAGTACAAGCAGCCACACAAACACACACACGTACATGCACGTCGCTATATAAGTGCAATAATCTTGGACGCGACGTTAAACCCCATTTCACCTCACCTCACCTAAGGATAATGGTTGATTACTGCAAGACGGCAACTGTACCGGGTACAACTATACTTTCAGACTTTTCAAATGTGATGTGAATGTGAGCCACTATGTGAAATGCGTGAAGCGAAGGGATTATCGAAGTGTTTTATCTAAGTTTAGGTGTGGTAACCTCCATCTATTAGTCGAAACAGGCCGCTACTCCAAGCCACCTATTCCTTTAAATGATAGAATATGTAAATTTTATGCAGAAAAAAATAATTATGTTATTATGGATGAATCACACTTTTTAATAGATTGTTTTGTATACAGTGACCTGAGATATCAACTACTACACAAGGCAGCTGAATTAAATCAGGACTTTTATTATTTTAATAGCATTCAGCAATTATCTTATTTGATGCAAGAAGTGATTTTACAGCCGCTTTTAGCAATCACATTATACAGCATGTATAGAAGGAGAGTGCATCTCTTCGAGTCTTAACATTGTATATAAAAATTTTATTTTGTGTTTTATATTTATTTTGTTATATGTTTTAAATGCTTTTAGAGTGTCTCATAAGCCCGATAGGCTGGATATTGTACTTTTAATGGCAACTTGCTTTTGTTTAAAATGTGTTTTATGTACAATATGTGACACTTAAATAAACATTTCTTCTTCTTCTTCGTCTTCTTCTTCTTCTACTATACCGCGCTGATAGGATTAATTATAGAGACCTGCAGTGTTCTGTTGTTATATAAATTCATTGTTGGCAGATGGGATGAGGGATCTTTGATCTCTGTTGATTTTGGGACTTGTGTCGGTGGACATTTCCACATATTTTGAGATTATATATAAACTCATTGCGATAACTCAGTATTCATATGATGAAAAAGTACATGCACATCCCAGAAACGTCTTTACAAAATTTAACGCAGAAGTTGTTTGCTCTTAATGTATGTTGATAAACATACACTGACGACCAGTTTCACCAAGATTAGCTCTGTTAACTGCAAATGTACCCACTTCTTGAAAACATAGTCACACATCAATAATGGAAAAGATGGTAGAAACAGTAGTGGAATGAATATATCTGTTATCACACAATGATTGAGAAAACATCAATTGCCTTACTTACTCTCACAGCAAGAGTGTTACATGGTTAGGACCATATAAGTCTTGGGGAGAACGAAACTGCAATATATGAATCGACAATTAACATTTTTTACCTTCGCATTTTTCAAAGTCTATGATTCAGACAAAGACAATTTTCGTTAATTTTGACTTATCCACATTTACACGTATCCCCCCTTGAAAGAATACCGTATTCGACGTAATAAGCGCACAGCGCTCTCAAAGTTTGAAATAGGGGGTTCTTATTAGAATATTATTTTAGTGGAAAAAAAACAAAGGTAAATTTCGTGGTTAATGCTGACAGCCTGAAATGTTTATGTACGACAGATATATTTTTCCAGTATTTAATTGCCCATAATTTATGGCTGCTTCCTTAATTTAGAGAACATGAACATGCGAAAAGGGGGAAGGGGGTTAAATAGAGTTTTTGTGAGGTCAGTAAGTCATATTTAGGGGGTTTAGTAGCGTTGCTGGTGTCACTTGATTGTTGCAGTTTAGTGTGGATTGGAGTGTTGTTCTGTGTGTCTTGTAGTGTATGCATTGGACAAGTGCATTTTCTGTGGTTTCTTTTTGAGTGCAGTGTGGGCATGCGCCTGAAACGAATTCTATCTGTTTGCCTGTTTTTGTTAGTTCATTAGAGCTTTTTAATATATGATTAATTAATTTCGGGGTGGTTTTTAGTGTTTTTGTTTTTTAGGGCCTGGAGTCCACTGAGGGAGTCCACTTTGAGGATGAGGATGTTTTGGTGGGTTTTTATTTGTGGGTTGTGAAGGGCTGTGGCAAGGCCAATGTGTTCGGCCGTAAAGATTGATTGATTATTTGGGAGCCTGTAAGATATTGTTTGTTTTAGAGGTGAGGTTTTAGAGAGTTGTGGACGCCAAAGCCGGTGTGTTTGAGGACGGATCAGAGGATCCGTCTGTGTAAATGTGGCACCAATTTGGCCATTTGTCGTGGATGTGTGCTAATGAACTGTTTTGGGCGATGTTTTGATCCGTTTGTTTGTTTAGCGTGGAGGCGAGTGTGTTGTCTATTTTAGGGGTTTGGATTTTTGTAGTTTAAATGTTGGAAGGTTTGGTGTTTTGTCTGAAATTATTTAGTTTGTGTTCATTTAGGTAGGTTGCTATTCTTGTGATATGTGGGTCAGTTGTGGGTTTTTGCGGGCCAGCGCTTGGTATTTTGGGCTTATGTTATTTTTAAGAATGTTTTGGATGAGAGGGTTTGATTGGGCGGCCGCCCAGAAGTTTATAGATAATTGTTCCCTACGTAATTCTAATGGGATTTCTCCTGTTAGAGCCTGCAGTGAAGTGCTAGAAGTGCCTTGTTGGGTGCGGGTGATTATTTTTAGTGCTTGGTAGTGGATTGAGTTTAATTTATTGTTTAGTGAATTGTTTAGGGTGTTGTAAATGACGCTACCGTAGTCTAGTTTAGATCGGATAAGAGCTGTGTATAAGGAAAGTAGGGTGTTCTTTAAGGCTCCCCAGTTGGATCCCGTGAGGCATCTGAGTGTGTTTAGGTACTTTCTGCATTTGGTTCCGAGGTTTTTTATGTGAGCATCCCAAGTGAGATGCTCATCAAAGATTTGTCCTAGGAATATAGTTTGTTTTTGGAATTTGATGGTATTATTGTTAAGTAGTAGTTTTAGAGAGGCGGATTGCATATTTTTATGTTTAAAGACTATACCTGTTTGTTTTTTTCGGAGTTTAGTGAGAAGCCCCATTTGTCTGTCCAATGTTGGACTTTATTCAGTGATTTTTGTAGAATATTTTGCGCTAATTTAATGCTTTTTGTGCGGATCCAGAGGGCTCCGTCACCTGCGAATTTGGATGTGTTTACTGTAGGGGATAGTCCCTCGAACAGGTCGTTTATCATTATGTTGAAGAGAGTGGGGATTAGGATGCTGCCCTGGGGTGTGCCGTTTTCTAGGAGACACTGGTCCAATAGAGTTTGGTCTATACCCACAGCTATTTTGCGGTTAGTTACGTCTTGGATGTAATTTATTATTTGTCCTTTGAGTCCTATAACTTTGCATAGGTTTGAGGTTAAGGAGATGGGTCTGTAAGAGTTGGCCTGGTCAGCCGGTTTATTCGGTTTGGGGATTGTAATGACCAGAGCTTGACGACAGTCAAGACTACGTGAGAGGCGTAATGGCGGATTGTCAAAGTCAGCCTATCTGTATTGATCAACATGATGCAGCCCCTCTGTCAAGTCAAATCAAAAAGAGACCTTGCACCGGGGATGACGATACTGCATGTAAGCGTATTCGAAATAACACTAATGAATCGCTTAATGTAAATGCAAAACTTGCAGAACCAAATGAACAGACAGGGATCATGCTGGCCTCCATAGAAGATATGAAAACAACTTTCAACAACAAGATCGAAGAACAAGAGGATTACATGGTGGGTTTGAAAATGAAATAGACAATGTAAAGTAAGATTTATTACGTAGAATCTGCAAACTAGGAGATCGCATATGCCAAATGAGGAAAGCCTACCATATCATCATACAGCTGACAAGGACAAAATAGTGCTTCTCAACGTTCACGAGACGAACGGCGAAAACGTGTCAAACAAGGTCATT